GAACAGACTCCCTACAGGGTGTGTTTTGAGGCACACACCCTCTTTTGAGATGTAGAAGCAGTTGATTAAGCATGGGACTCAAGTAGAGAGAAGGAAGAGAGAAGGGCATTGCATTGGGTCAGTTGGCTGCACAAGACCTCATGAAGGTGTTAGTTTGACCCAAGCCGTGGTATGTGTGTCAAAGTTGGACATTGAATAAGGAAGACTGAAGAATCAGTACATTTGAATTTTGGTGCGGGCAAAAAATGTTCAAAGTACCATGAACTGCCAAAAGATCAAACCAATCTGTCTTGGAAGAAGTACGGCCAGAATGCTCCTTAGAAGCAAGACTGTGGAGACTTTATTTCACATTCTTTGGACATGCTGTCAGGAGAGATCAGTCCCTGAAGTTGGACTTGGTGAAGGAGAGGGGCAGTGAAAATGGAAGACCGTGGACAAGAGAGGTTGGCGCTGTAACACTGGGCTCAAAGGAACATCGTAAGAACAATTGTGAGGATGGTGCAGGCCCAGCCAGTGTTGCATTCTGTTGTCGTAATAGAGTCAATAGAACTGACTTGATGGCGCCTAACAACAAGGAAGAGAAATGCCAGCCCACACAAAGATCTCTTAAGAACAGAAGCTCAAAAGAGACAAGGACCTACCCCCGAGCCCACAGAGAGAGCCGGTACCCACCACTACAGCTGGCACCCACCACTGGTCTACCACTGTGTCGTACTCTGGTGGCTTGTGTGTTGCTGGGCTGCTGGAAGCTATGCCAACTGGTATTTCAGATACCAGCAGGCTCATTCCTGGTGAACAGGCTCAGTGGAACTTTCAGACCAAGACAGACTAGGAAGAAAGAATAGGGGGTCCACTTCTGAAGGATAAGCCACTGAAAACTTTATAAGTAGCCACAGAACACAGTCTGATCCAGTGCTGGAAGATGAGCCCTCTGCTTGGCAGGCACTCAAAATACGACCGAGGGACAGCAGCCTCCTCAAAGGAGAGTCAACCGTTAAGACGTGGATGGAGCAAACTTTCATGATCTTTATTTACTGATGGGGCGCCACTCAAAATGAGAAGAAGCAGTTGTGGACCTCCATTCGTCATCAGAACATGGAATGCATGAAGTCATCCATAATGAGATGGGATGCATGAAGACTGATATCCGAGGCACGCATGAGCTGAAATGGACCGGTACCGGCCATTATGACTTGGTTTTTCTTACAGTTTACTATGGTGTTCTTATGGTTTGCTCTGCCCAGAATGACAAATTCAAGAGAAATGGCATCATATTCATTATCTAAAAGCACATTTTATGATCCATCTTGAAGTACAGCGCTGTCTGTGACGGGATAATGTCCATCTGCCTACAAGGAAACCCAGTTAATACGACTGTTGCTCAGATCGACACACAAACCACTGAAGCCAACGAGGAAGACACTGAAGAGTTCTACCAACTTCTCGAGTCGCCATTGAGCCAGCATTCACTGCCAGTTACCGGTGATTGGAATGAGAAAGTTGGAATGGCTCCATAGTTGGAAAACATGGCCTTGGTGATAAAAATGAAGCTGGAGATCATATGATTTTCCACTACCAATGACTTCTTCATTGCAAAATCATATTTCAACAACATAAATGGTGACTACACCCCTGGCCCTCACCAGATGGAATACACGAGAATCGAACTGACTGCAACTGTGGGAAGAGATGAGGAAGAAGCTCAAGGTCAGTGCTAAGACCTGTTCCACTGACTATGGAACAGACCATCTATTGCTCATAGGCAAGTTCAGGTTGAAGCTGAAGAAAGTTAGAACAAGCCCACAAGAGTCAAAGTACAACCCCTAATATATCCCACCTGGATTTTGAGAGCATCTCAAGAACAAATTTGATGCATTGAACACTTACAGCAGAGGGCCTGCTGAGCTGAGGAAGGACACCAAGAACATCATACCTGAAGAAAGCAGGGTCGTGAAAGAGACAAGAAAGGGAAGATCCAAGTGGGTGTCAGCAGAGACTCTGGAACTTGCTCTTGAACGAAGAGCCCCCAAAGCACTGGAAGAAGTGTTGATGTCAAAGAGCTGAACAGAACTTTTCAAAGGGCGGTTCAAGAAGACAAAGTCAAGCATGATAATGAAATGTGCAAAAGACTTGGAGACAGAGAACTGAAAAGGAAGACAGCGCCCAGCATTTCTTAAACAGAAAGAAGAGAAGGGGAAAAGGCAAGCCTCGAGATGCAGTACTGAAGGATTCTAGGGGCAAAATATTGACTGATGCAGGAAGCATCAAAAGAAGTAGGGAGGAACGCAGAGTCACCACACCAAAAAGTACTGGTCGACATTCAACCATCTGAAGAAGGAGCCTGCGTTCAAGAACAATGG